TAAAATACAGAAGATTAGGGACTGATATAAAAGTTAGCATTCGTGAACATCATTAATGATAAGCTTTACAGGCAATGATGTTATAGCGTAGCTAAGTATGGATAGCTCGATTAATAACACGATGAACTTGCACACAATAGTTTCCCTTAATATAAAATATAGTACTGCCAAGATGATTACCTATTTTCAAAGAATTGAATTTTTGCTTTTATCGCAGCAGATTCGATGTCGACCAGCTATGTACCTTCGGTATCTAGCATAACTAGTGAATTAATAACCAGCCAACCTAAGACCTCTATTGTAAATCCATCTAGAATATCGTCTGCTTTGTACGATATTTGCCGTGATCCAACTTGCAATACAATATTATGTACTGTACATGCTAGCTATAGAATTCGTTTATCGTCTATAGTAATCAAAGCGTCTTGTGTAAGAAATCTCCATGTCTTTGATTGTTACAGTGTAATACAATATAATATCTAGATTAGAGTAGAAATATCTATATTAGGACAATTTTGTTGATTTACCCTTATTTAAAGCGTTTCTAATTTAGATATGTGATGTTTAAATATAGCACTAGCTTTCAAGGTGATATATATATATATATATATATATAGATACAGTCTACTGAAATCAGTAGTTTAATTAGGGGGTCAAGAATAATCTTCTTACGATTCAAATCACTGCGAATGTAATTTACTTATGGTAGAATATCGCAGAAATGCTCCGTGATAGGACATATTGTAATCTGACAATTTTGTGTTAGTCATTCGATGTCTATGTTCGTAAATACTGTTGTCTTCATTAGGTAGCAGTAGATAAAATTAACTTTTGATTCATTAGCAGGTTTCAACGTTAATATTACTAACTAGGATGTACAGTATGTGCTATTATAAAAGAGTATAAATGCGATATATCGTATATATAGAGAGTTCTTTAGATTAGTGTTTAACGTAAGATACGAGACGTCTAAGTTTTTTTGTAGTCTACTAGTATAGGAAAAGTGTTCCTGGAAGAGTAGATATTGCTCGCTGATACGTGGTTCAGGGAATCGACTTATTGATCGCTCATTACGTTATCTTGCTGCAAAGCTGTATTGTAACATTGATAAACTAAATATTGATGTTGCATGATGAAAATATTAGCTGTTGTTTTAATTTAACTTGAAAGGGTTACAGTTATTGTAAGGAATTTATTCATAGCTATTGTGTATTAAATATTAATTCTACTAGAATATCTTTAGTATATTTAGTTATAATTATTTAATTGTAATCGGTTTAGTATTAATAGATTTACATGTGGAAAATTTAACCTAAATAACTTAATCTTTATTTTAATTTTCTATACCGTACATCTTGAGTAAGTCATAACTGATCAGATTCATCGTTATTCTGATAGTGTGTTTAATCAGTTTCGAAGTTAATATAATTTTCGTTAGTTTGCAATCAAGATTGTTTCAGATATTTGTGTTTAAATTTTAACAAGTACCGTAGTAAATTAGTTATGTGTTTCTTCTATATACTTATCTCATCTTTATCGACTGACATCAATATCTACGTAATATAACTTTAAATGGTTTGAAACATTCTATGTTTAATTTCACTTGATAAATGGCCAGGCATAATAACATGGATTGTGGAAATAAGCTCGTAATGCACTCTATAGTATGTTATACTATTATTTTTGTTATTAATATTGAAAAGCGTTTTCACTTCTTTTAGTTATGGATACCATATGATAAACTAATTAATATTATTACTGTAAAATATGAAAAGATTTGATTTTTCTGGCTTATCTATAATTTATTCGTCGTAATTTTCATAAAGGAGGTGTTATAGTATCGTTGATATATATAAGCATGAAATTTTAGCTAGATTATATTACTGTGAAATAAGCCTTATATAACTAATAAGAGGCAGCTCCCAAAATTTCTTTAGCCAGAAATATCGTCGTAAGCCTGTTATAGCATAGTAACATAGGCGTTAAGCGCAGTACATACCGTATTACATATATTTTGCAATGAAACAATTGATCGATCAAATATGATGACTTATCATATTCGATATCAAGTAATTTAGAATTATACAAAGAAATATATGTGACTGATAATGGTACTACATAATTCTTGTACTTTATAGCAATCAAGCTATGCAAATAAAAGTTTAGCTTTCTCTTTTGATTAGACAATTATAGCAATTCCTGACATGCCCTTCGTTCTGTGATATTTGAAATTCATTACTTTAGAGATTACTGTTATTAGACGAAATATCTAGAACGTCTATCGAGGAGTAGATTTGTAGATTTAGATTTTTGTTATCTTGTCACAGAGCATGTTTCTAACGACTTGACATATTAATAAGCACAGCCAGTAAACAAAGTGCTATATACAGTACAGTAATATTTATGTGAAACAACTCTTGATAATTCCTCAGCCTTAGATTTTGACATGACTGGATACGCTGTAGTAATTCATACGAACTCTTATACAGTAGAATTGTGTGGTAAAATATTTAATAAGAGTTTAATAAAGTTGTATCAATTAGTACTATGATTTTGTAATATTATTCAATAATTATAATTTATGACACTTGTGTAAAGAACGCATTCTTTCTTGTCTTAGTATATGACTAGATGATTATTGTCTCTTCATTAAAACTAAGCGTTAATTACTCCAAAGCATTGTCACAAACTTCCGATTGGATATTTTGAGTCGCTGATAAGTACTGTACAAGTAGTATACAGCCGTAGGCAACATGGTGCAAGTATAGAACTTCTACTACTTATTAGCTGTAGGTTTTGATATTACTAGATACATTCTACAGGTATGACGTTTAATTTTACGTTTTGCAGGTAATCTAAATTAATTATAGTAAGTTCGGACCTATTTTAAATTACTTACAAAATTATAAATCGTAGCATAATTTACCGAGTTCTTTTTTAAGAGTTTGTAATTTCGCTTTTAATTAAGATTACGTCAATATAGGAAGATACTTTAAAAACCTACAGTGGTATTACTTCCTTAGTAACCAGTAGACGTATGAACTTAAAGAATATCGTCTCATTGTGCTGAAAGAAGCTCTAAACTATCGATAAGGCTCGGTCTGTTGTATGTCCAATATAATTAAAATAGCTATATCGAAAATAATTATTGTAATATCGAAATTAACTTGAAACGCCTTGAAATAGGTCGTTATTAAAGGTAGTACTTTGTGTACGCGTATACTTGTACTTTTATGATTTGACAGTGTTGCTCAACAAGTGATACCGTACTGTTCACAATGCGCGAATTACTTATTGATTGCTGAGAACTCGAGATTTCGGTCTTTAATTAGTGATATGATACTATAGTGTGTGAAGTACAGTAAAGCTTAATTAAGTGTATGGAAAATTATTACGCGTATGTGATAGAATTAGGCTTGAAATATCTGTGAATGGATTGTAATAAGTAGCATTTATGGAGTATACTATACTTGCTTAGAATATATAATGCGAGTATATTTGAAACGAGTACATGAGCCGTAATTTGTTACACAATAGGTAATACTATTTTCTACATAAGATTAATTGGTTGATAAATTAAGGTACTGTAATATTCGTATTCTGTTGAGCATTAGTATGGAGTAGCGAAAATTTCTATATTTCAGTATCGTAATAATTTTGATATTTTGTAGTGGATGTTAGAATAATTACTGTAATTATTAAGTGATATAAGCATATTCTATGGAAAGGTAAAACAATTATAATCAGGAATGGTATTTTAACTATGGTAACACTTAGGATAGTGTTAATATTATTAATACGCCAATTGCTGTGTTGGTCAACTGATTTATTCGCTAATCAAGAAAAATATTCATATGTAGACGATTGTTCACATTAAGATTAAATAAAGCTATGGCTACAGTAAAGTTGTATGCGTTGACGAAAATGTTATCTATCAAATAAAAACGTAGAGTCGTATCTAAATTATTATCGTAGACATTAGCTTAAGAGGGTAATTCCAATTAATAGCAAGTCATAAGATAGAATTTAAGATTGACGTAGTATAAAGTACGGAATGGAGATACTTTATATTCTTGTATTATAGCCTCGGTCGTGCTAGGTCACATTAGAGTTGTATAGATAATGTTAATTTTTATAGTTTCCTATCTAGTGATATATTAATTGCTAGTGTAATATCGATGAGGAATTGTTTAGTACGACAACCAGCAGCAATAAATTTAGGCTGTTAAACTTTCTGGACAGCGAAAATGTTACATTAAATATACCAATTCATGTAAATGACTCATTGACACGATTAACTTTGGATAAGATCTTGTTTCATGTTTAAACGATGAAATCTGTAGGAAAATAATACTACTAGTTTTACCGGTTTACTTTGAATGTTATAGTGCTGTTTGTGACAGTTGTAGCCTGATTGATAAATATAAGTTTATGCGTAGATGGAATAAGTGTAGAAGATACAGTAGTCTATTAAAATAACTTTTGAAGTATATCGTACGAACGCTATGAGATTAAATGATATGATAAAGTCGGTAGATATCGTAGAGTAGAATTTGCAAAATTTATTATTTAAGGTTAAATATATTATAGCTAGTAAGTATAAACATTGGCGTAACATAACCTACTTTTCAATTGTTTTAGTATTATCCGAAGCTCTGAGATGAAATTTATAGTTAATGAGATTGATAGTGTATTGATAGAGTAAACTGCATGTAATCCGATGTTGGAGATATTGTATGATTTTCACTAGTCTAATATTTTACAACATTAGCTTAGTAAGATACTTGTCGAAGTCTAGTAGCGACATTTATAATTTCAGATAATGTATACTTTATATTTAATCGCATTCGAAAGTAATATGAATAGTGATGTTGTTTAGTACTGTATAGGACTAAGAAATATTTTGTACTTTATTATTTACACGCCTGATAGAATATGAGAGAACGTCGTACAATCTCGTACAGTATTAGCCAAAAGAGGTATTACAAATTTTGAATGATTTAATCGTCTTTAGTATGCTTTGCAATACTGATCTTTATTAGCATAAGGCAAGTAAATGCTAGAAAGCTGACATTGCTAATATAAATCAACGCATGAGAAATTGTATTGATACAAAAGATTTTAATTTGAATCAATTTTTGTAACGACTACTGGGTTAATTATCGGTATCGGAGATAAGATACCGAATAAAATCATCTACGATTCTACAATTATCACCATATTTCTTTACTAGCGATAATCCAACTCATGCGCTTTTTATGAAATTGGTAAATTTATTTCTGGATAAGTTGATTATAGTCAGCAGTTCCGGATAGATGCATCGATTCATCGATTTGATTGATGATATTAAAAATAAATATAGAAGAATTTATTTAGCTAAAGTATGTTAGACTACTAAATTAATGATTAGTTTAATTTATAGACATTAATTAAACTCAATCAGTTTTCTTAAATGTAACTGTTTGCGTATTACCGTACGATAATTATTTATATTTTAATATCGATAGCATAACTAACCTTTCCCTGTAGAATCATAGGCCCAAAGAGGACATACAACATAGGTTGAATAAAAATGCGAAATTGGCGAATATTAGTTTTAGAAGTATATATAGTATGTATATTACATGATGTAAAGTAAGTACGTTTTAATTTAACGTTTTAATTTTCATAAATCATACATTTATAGCTGTTAGATAACTTTCAGTTATAAAGTAAACTATGTACTACGAATTAATGAAGGAAATGCTTATTTTGTTTACTACAGAACATACATATCGACGACGGTAGAAACGACGGCGGTAGAAACGACGACGGAAAAAGACGCGACGACGGATATAGCGACGACGGATATAGCGACGACGGCGACTCCACTATGTAGAAAAATATTAATTGTTAAGTTTTGTTAATTTGTCGACATCAAACAATGAAGGAAGTAATTCTATAGCGCAGGCATTAAATCACTTAGTGTTTTCATGGGGGTATGTGTGATTAGTTCGTATTTGTATATAAGGAAGTTTTACTCATTTACAGACTATTCTATTTCATAGTTTAATAGTAAATTACTTACCCAAGCAGCCTTCTGCTTATTGATTTTTAATCCACGGCACGAAGATAGGGTAAGAAGCAATAGCTTATAATTAGTACAAATATCAAACATTTTTACGCCATATTGTAAGCAGGTAAAAGATAATTAGAGTATGTCGATGAAGACTTTTGTGAGACATTGAGTATCTAATATACGGATCAGATCGAATCGTTACTAAGCTGGATCCGTAAGTAGGTTTGTTATTATGTACTATTTTCGTTATTGACTAACTTGGGTTAATTTTACTAAGTATAATGACGATATTTGTAAATAACTTGCCTTGGAAAGTTCAGCTTTCGTTTCGTCATCCTGAAATTACATTAATAAAATTATTATTCTCTTTATAATTGATTAATAAATTAGAGTTATAGTTTATTTTTAGTTAAGTCTTTATACAGCAGAGAGTTTAACTTACTACATCGCTTTCCATAAGAGCCTTTAGATCTTCTTCATCGACATTATCTAAATCGGCTTCTTTACCGAAGATTTCATTTTCTTCAGGTTTTTCTTCTTCGGTTGCGAAAGCGACCGCCGCGAAGAATAATACAGTAGCGACCAAGATAAGCTTCGTGTTCATGTTTCCTGATTAGACAGAAGCGTAATTAAACAACTAAGGTTAGAAATTTAATTAATAATGAAAAGTGATTGTAGCATAAATCAACTGTTGCACTCAGAGAACATGACGGTTTTATGTTACGACAATAAAATACAGGAATAAACATATGTATCTATTTCTAAATTATATATCGTAACGTATTGGTGAAAATTAACTTGATATCGCAATGTAACGATAATTTAAGTCACTTTTATAAAATTTTGATTATCGTGTAGAATTTACGAAAGAAGTGATCGTGATTTCGTAATAGTAAAGTAAAAGCATATCTGTGTTAAGTAATTTTAAAATGTGTTTATTACTAATCTTGTCTTATTGATAAAACGAGGGAGCTATTATTTAGTATGAAAGCTTAACGAAATTTCACATTTTAATTTTAAAGATACGGATATACTCTGTATTACGGCACTGATATTATCTGATGACTATAAGAAACTGTAAAATTTTTCTTCCGTTATAATCTAAGCTGTATTTTAAATGACTTACCAGTTGGATTAGCAATTACCAAGGGGAGAATGATCGGTTACCGAAAAAATCGGCTATTTATACTTTTTTGACAATTGTAAACAGTGAATTGGCGAGGTTAATTCGCAGACCTACCATTGCGCTCCGTAATTAACGAATGTCATCTTTGTTACTACTATTGTAATTGATTGAATGGTAAATTTCAGACGATGCTAAGGGAATACTTCCTACTCCCTAGGGGAAAAAGGAAAACGCCTACTGCATTAGCTATGATACTATAAATTTGTGTCCGAAATAATGTTGACGATCTTATATATATATATTACTATTGCTTTATTAAGGAGTTATTGATTTAATCTTTTGGACCGTAGAGCTACTTGTTATTTCTATTAAAAGTAACTGTGTCTGTTTTCTTTAGAAGCTCTTGAGAAAAAGCGGTAAAATAGTGAGAATCGACGTATCCGAGGTATAAATCGAAAGGTATCGAGAAAATGCAGTAAAACCTTTGATGATATAGGAATTATTAGGAGACGAGATTAAGCGAGTTTACTTCTATAAATTATTATTTTACAGCGCACGAAGAGATGTAATAGCATAAGATACGATCGTATACTATACGCCTAATTCTTTAGAATTATAGAATGTTTGATGAAAAGTTAATTAGAATCATAATTGCTTCTGCTATGACCTCACCACCTCACAATGTTTTCAAGTCACGAAGACTAGTTTGTAACTCTGAGAGAATAGATAGGGACAACAGTTTAGCTTTATTTATCTCTTCGAATTTTATTCATATTTGATTTATAATAAGAAAATTAGGAAATACAATTGTAGTGATTCAATTATGCCCATCAGCTAGTTAGATAGCTACTTGTTGTCGATAGGTTGTATGAGCTGGGTAATTACCTCTTTCTATACTTTTCTCTCCATTATCGTTCTCTGTATTACTCTTTTTGGTTTGTAACTTTCAGTCATAGTTCAGGTATGCTAAGTTACTTATAAATAATAAATTGTGATAATATTGTCGTTTACAGCGATAGAATCAATTTGAATGTCGTAAGTATTACTGTTTATGACGCAATTCATCATACATATTGTAGAATGAGCAGTGCCAAGAGTAAAATGCTGACTCAGCTGATGTAAATTAAAGATCCTAGAAAATGAGGGTCTGTAATATATATTATTAAAAGCTAGCTCGAGATAGCTGCATTGGTATGATTTAGATTGTCAAGTATAGTATATAGGCTGGGAAATCTAAACATAATTTACTTCTTGTATTATCATACTACTGAGCTTAAGGGAATAAGGAGACAGTCTACACAAGACAATCGCTTTTGAATACTGAATAGGTTATCATACATCCATTAAATAGGCTTGGTTTTCATCGCCGGCGTAACCTGAATAGGTAATGTTTTCTATTCCATAGGGAATAACATGCACCACTATTGTTACATGTATTCTCTTCAGCCGAAAGAAGAAAAAGTAAAACTATAATCTTCTGTTACTATGGACGTGCAGAGTATTTATACTGAACTTCATGTTATAATTTTAGATGATCTAAATAGCAGGATAATGATTGAAAAATCAGAACTAGTCAGTACTGTACATTGTAGAAAGCATTAATAAAAATTAATAAATAGAAATTACTATGATTAATTCAAGTCCAGTTTTTATGTTTCTTCTTTAAGATATTGTTGCGTTCAAGGGTCACTGAAGAGAGTCGATTAGATATAAAGGCGTTGAACTGACTTTGATATTAATATTATTGCTTTAACTGATAGGAAACGAATACAATAACCTTTATGTCAGCTAACTACAAATAATATAGGACAGCGTATTACACTAATAATGAAATAACAAAGTTTAATAACACTCAATACGTGTAGCAGATAAGACTTTACTATGGTAGCTAAGCTAGTACACAAATCAGTATACTGTAAGCAAACACTACGGCCCTTGTTTTAAGCATAAAAGCGCTCCAAAAAGTAGCTACCCGTAATATTAACATCAATTGATCGTCATACTGTGCACTCGGATATTTAATAATATATTTTGTGAATAAAAAGTTTTACTGCCTATTCTCTTCTATACATTACTCCAGTTTCTAAAACAGTATTTATATAGAATTTACATTCAAATTGAAAAAAATACAGCAATTACTGTAAGGTTAATGAACCTATAATATCGAATTAGATTTAGATTTTAACTGAATGAGCTGTTATCTTGCTATTTACTATGGACAATCAGTCGTCTTTTTGGTGTTGCTAGTTTATCTCGGCTGTTTACGTGTTTTCTAATAAAGTGAAGAGATAATTCTGACGTTGATCTGTTGGCATGCTGCTGTGTTTTGTGGCTGACTTTGCCATCCTTATTATTGCTATTCTAGACAATCTCAAGGGATTTCAAATCGTGCAAGTAAACAAATTCTATTCCTTATTAGGAAAAGAATGAAAGTCTGATGTTTACAGTGATATTTTGAAGTTTTGCTTGAAATAATCGCGATAACGATTACAATTACATTGGTTTTAAAAAGTCATAGATTTACACTTTGATATTTAGAGGTAACTATTAGCATTTTTTAAACTGAGGCTGTTTGTTCTCTTGAGTGTTACGTCATAAAAAACGATGGAGGACCGAAGATCGATATCTCTGAGACTATTTCAAACGACGTAATTTACGAACGAGAAATGTAAAAATTGAAGTTATAAAATAATGTTTTGAAAGACAGATGGATTTGCATACATTTTAACCCAGTGCTTTATATATAGCAAATATGTGTAGGTAGTAAATGCTGTATCATTTAGTGCATATATGAAATCTGTATTGATTGGTCATTAGCGACTGATTTTTATATAGTGTGGCATGATTTCATGATATTCTCTATTCACAAATAATGATTTATAGCATTTCGGATGTGGAAGAGAATAGCCTTCTAGTTAATCCGTGCTATAGATGATATAAGTAATATTATTGTATCTTTTAGGTTTTAGATAGTGATATCAAGCTGTAATAGGTAATTATTATTCAGAATCATACACGATGGACTTTAGACTTTTGCTACTTTAGATAATGTTCACTTTAATTTTGCAACATGCCTGACGAGTATACGCATTTCGATGCATTTGATCTTATTTAGAAGACACTAGTGCAAACTCCCGTCGCTTTGCTGACGGTTTACGATAATGTGCTCATTTAACAGATAGTATTACCATTTGATAGACCTGTCAGATCGTATTCAGCAAATGTCAAAAAGAATCTTTACGCGTTTAGATTTGTATTGACCGAGTAATAGTCTCGTATTATTACTGTTGGTTCACCTACATAACCCAATTTTTGAGTTAACAAAATACTGTGCTATTATAACTAGCTCAGATCATTACAAGATTAAAGAAATAATAATTCCATATACTTTAGGTCGAATTCTGATTATGAACTAGTTTCATTATATTCTTGTACTTGTATCAGATTGATGCGCTACTTTAAGTAAGCTGCCTTTGTCAACAGGTTACAGTTACTGGTGTGTATAACATGTCCATAATCAGAATATGATAGAAATTATTACTAAAATGTATGTGCTGACTTAATCTAAAGGCGAAATTCTAAATACATTTATGGATTAGTGAAAGATATTTTCCTTCCCTATTTATCTAGTTTGATAACGGATTATGCTAACATCTACATGAAAAAGCAAATTAAATGTTATTTTATTTTGAGATTATTATTTATTATTGAAGCCGGTTGGAGCTGTCCGACATATTGGGAAATATTTAATGCTAGCATTTATCTTCAGCATATCCTCGATTATTTGAAATTCGGCGAAGCTAGAAGCTATTGTAATTCGTCAAATGCTAGTTTAGTAGTTATTGACAGTCAAGACGGTAAGATTTTTGTAGGAAATTTAACTGGCGATTCTTCTGTTGGCACGTATTGGATAGGATTAGTAGATGTTAGACGAGATAATTCGGTTACAAGTTCTCAGTAGGATAGAACGGCGCATTTGCACTGTTTTTCTTATGAGACTGGAGTTCTCCAGCTATGGCCGTATCTGATAGCCAAATATGCGTGTGTCACATAATGCAATTACTCGATTTTATTAACATAAATTTTGGGTTACGTAGGAGAACCTACTATAATAGTAGGAGTCTATTACACCGTCATTACACTCATTTTCCGTTAAATTTCGTTATATTGCTTCCATAAAATATTCGACAGATAACTGATATTGAGAAAACGAAGTCAATTAAAAGCTAAAGCTTTCGTTAGTTACTTTTGTAAATGGATTTGTCAGGTCTATTAATGCAATCTAATTATGAATTGGATTATTATTTTAATTATTGAATAAATAGCCTGGCAACCCATATTTAGCCCTTAATATGAAATATTATCATAAAATTTCTATATGTGACAATAATATACAGTACAGCAACATATCGAAATCCTTTTAAATATTTAGCTCTTTCACTTTTGCGTATCGAACTTCGTCTCAAGGCTCCTATGATACTGGTATATCAGTATTTGCTACGGTTACTACCCTTGAAAATACCGGCAATAAAGTTGTCATACTTTGTAGTTTATTTCCAATTATTAGAGCATATTAGGTGGCATTAGTAGTTTGAGTGTCTTTAGCATTTAACACAGTTTAATTATGCATGATTTGACTAAAATTTTTTTCTAGAAATAGGATTTAAAGTAGTATAGTCAATATCAAAATACTTTACCCTAAAGCAAAAGTGGGCTGAATAACGAACTTGAAAATAAGATTTTCATCATTCACAAACTCAAGTCAGTAAGTATTACATTTGCATATTTAAAAGTTATGTACAATAAAATATAGTATAAATTGAAATTTTAATAGCATTAGTTACGATGTTCTTTTTTTGCATAACTTAAAGATTGTAACTGCTTGAGCATATAAAATTAAATTTTAACTTTTAAATTTACTTTTCTCACGTTATGTTTTATTAATATACTTGTTTCTTTACCAAGTGATCTATATTAATGATTTTATGTGTTGCAGTGTCACGGTAGTGAATCTACCGTGATGAATGATAACTTACTTAATTTAGACATGTATATGTATCACGTTAAGATAGTTATTAATTTGGATATGCGCATGAATTATTTTATGACTTAATATAGCCGATGCAAGCCTGTTCCTAATACAGGTTAAATTATACTAAATACGGTATATGAATTGTAAATGGTAAATTCAATATAAATCCTGTTAATTATAAGCTAGAGCAAACATAAAGTTAATCTATAGTAATATTACAAATTCATTGGATCAGACTAGGAATAATTGAATGTATTCACGAAGTCTTATTGGGTGAAATATATCACACATCGTAAACCGGTTTTATGGCTAGAAAAGCTATTTAAATGATTGATTTTGAATATTAAATTAGACTTGCATTTTCTAGAATAAAGATATAGTTAGAAGATTCCGAAAGTGCATTTCTCAGTTATTGTTACTTATCTAGGGTAATCTAATTAGTTTAGATTAGGCAAGTTTAGTTAAGTAACATACAGATTATGAAGAGTCAGCTTCGGTAAACTTGGAAGACCATACTGTTATAGGTCAGAGCTATATAAGTACGGCATAAAATAAATCAAGATTCATTCCATAATAAGGAAAGCTATTATATACTAGATGTATCTATTTTTAGGTAGCTAGGGTAAAATACTATACACATATCGATTCATATTTATAACTCTAATAATATCTGGGTGCAAGGATTGATACTACTGTCATCCTGTTACTTTTTCTTTTCTAGCTATAACTTCAGATTTGAGCTCATTGACGTTGTTGTTGACTTGATTTACAGGATTAACTGTATTTATTATCGAAATGTGACGCGTTGCAGTTGTAAATTAAATACAGGAGTAATTATAGTGATGTTATAACCAGCCAACTCTAATCCTAATCCTAAAATTGCAGATAGTCGGCACCTGTATCGGTCTGTTACTGATTAAAAATTATGAGTCAGTATTAATAAACATACCACAGACAATTAAACGGCTCAAAATTTGTGATACCTCTTTTAGCTAATACAAGACTGCGCTATAATCTTTAATTTTCTATCAGGCTTGTAAGTAATAAAATTACAACTAGATAAAATTTTAAGGAGCACTTAGACGATCCAATTGCAGTACTCCAACTTTAATTATGAGTTCTGTGTCAAATATCTTTTAGAATTTTTTCGATTTAATGATCAGTATTAGAATCGATTGAAAGGATTTTTAGCTAAATTTAATCAATTCGTGATACAGGTAAATCTATTGAAATTCAAGCGTTAAGTTTCAAAATTTGAATTGTGACATTTTCTATAGACATAATAGCCATTCTTAATTTAACCTAAGAAGCTGAGTAGAAATTAACAAGGTAAAAGAAGATATAAAACTAATTTAAGAATTTAATTTTTGACCTGAGCGGAGTCAATGATTCAGTAAAGAATTAAAAATATATAATTAATTAATGTCTACACTGAATAAGTGTTGGAGATATAATAGTATATTGCAATAATTCTACAGGAATACCGTATAAAGGCTAAAAAGATGTAGCATTGTAATATAGCAGGTTGTAGTGAATTTAGATTATATTGCAAGTGTGATATGCTCTTAAATATAGACCTTTGATGTTCTTAAATATAGAGATACTTATAGTACCATTGTACTATAGCTAAATATAAATTATTATATTTAGCAATTATGATCTTTGCTATTTTCTATAACCATTGGCTATTACATAGACTGTTATGGTAAATGCTTTATTTAGTCTTACATTCTTGTTCTCTGCATATATTCTATCTGTTAAGCTATAAATACCTCAAATTCTACCTCGAAAATTATTAGTTTTAATAGTCACAGTGATGGCGTTTTCTTATATTAATTCGTCACAGTTTACACGCTGCTCTATCACAACTACGGTATCAAATTACACGTAATCATAGTCTACAATAAAATATCCTTTTTCTGCTAAAATTGAGGCCTAATTCTCTGTATGACAACTAAATCCGCTGCCTCTAACTCATTGAACCTCCGTCATACACGTAGGTATCGTAGAGTAGAATTTACAAAGTTTAATATTTAAATATATTGTAGCTAGTGAGCATGAACATTGGGCGTAATAGAACCTACTTTTATCAATTGTATTAATATTACCCAAAATTCTTAGATAAAATTTATAGTTGATGGGATTGATAACGTATTATTAGAGCAAACTGCATGCAATTCTATTTTTGGAGATGTAGTATCATTTTACTGGGCTAATGCTTACTGCATTGGCTTATTATGGAACTATTTAAGGTCTGTAGCGGAATTCATAATTTCAGATAATGTATATTTTATGTCGCACGCGAAAGTAATATAAATAATGATGTTCAGTACTGTATAGGGACTAAGGATTACTTTTAATTTGATTATTTACACGCCTGATAGAAAATGAGAGAATATAGCGCAGTCATGTACTGGCCAAAAGAGGTATCACAAATTTTGAGCCGTTTAATTGTCTTTGGTATGTTTATTAATACTGACTTTTATTAGCATAAAGTAAGTAAATGCTAGATAGATGGTATTGCTGATAGAAATCAACGCATGTAGAGAATCGTATTGATACAAAATCATTTTAATTTAAAGCAATTTTTTGTAACAAATACTTAGATTATCTATCGGAATCGGAGATGAGATACCGAATAAAGTTAACTACGATTCTATAATTATCACCATATTTCTTTATTAGCGATAATCCAATCCATGCGCTTTTTATAAAATCGATATGCTTATTTCTGGATAAGTTCATTATAGTCAGTGGTTCCGGATAGATGTATCGATTTGTTGATTTGATTGATGATATTAAAAACATTAAATATATAAAAATATGTTTAGTCAAAGTTAGCTAAATTACTAAATTAACGATAAGTTCAATTATCGATATTAATTAAATTAAATAAATTAGCGTATTCTTAAATGTTACTATTCGTGTATTACTGTAAGGTATTTATTTATATTTTAATATTGATAGCATGACTAACCTTTCCCTGTAGCATCATAGGTCCAAAGAGGACAAACGACATAGGTTGAATAAAAATACGAAATTGGCAAAGATTAGTTTTAGAAGCATATACGATTATAGTATGTATATTACATGATGTGGAGTAAGTACATTTTAATTTTCATAAATTTTTTTTATTTTTATAATAGTTACATAACTGTCAATTGTTAAGTGAACTATGTGTTATGAATTAATGAAGGAATTGCTTATTTTGTTGACTATAGAGCTTACGCTTCGGCGACGACGGTAAACATGACGGCGACGGCGACTCCACTATGTATAAAATATTAATTGTTAAATCTTGTTAGTGTTATCGACATCAAAAAATAAAGAAAGCAATTCTGTAGCACTAGCGTTGAATCAATTAGTGTTTTTATGAGGGTATGTGTAATTAATTTGTATTTGCATATGCGGACGTTTTACCCATTTATATAGACTATTCCATTTCACAGTTTTATAATAAATTACTTACCCACCAAGCCTTCTGCTCAGTAATTTTTAAGCCATGGTACGAAGATCGTGTAAGAAGCAATAGCTTATAATTAGTACAGAAATCGAATGTTTTCAAACCGTATTATAAGTAGGTAAATAATTAGAGATATCGATGAAGATATTTCTGAGATATCGAGTATCTAATTTACGGATCAGATCAAAGACTAGAAAAGCGAAATTTTTAACCTAATCGTTACCAAGCAGGATCCGTAAGAAGGTTTGCTAATATGTGCAATTTTAGTCATTGACTAGTTTGGGTCATTTTTACTAAATGTGATAATGGTATTTACAAATAACTTGCCTTAACGACTTCGGCTTTCACTTCGTCATCCTGAAATCGCATTAGTAAAATTGTTATTTTCTCTTTATAATTGATTGATAAATTTAGAGTTATGGTTTATTTTGTTTAAGTCTTTATACAGTGGAGACGTTAACTTACGATATCGCTTTCCAGAAGAGCCTTTAGATCTTCTTCATCTACATCACGCATTTCGGTTTCTTTAGCCGAGACTTCATTTTGTTCAGGAGCTTCTTCTTCGATTGCGAAAGCAACCGCGAAGAATAATAAGGTAGCAACTAAGATAAGCTTCGTGTTCATGTTTCCTGATTAGACAGAAGCATAATTAAATAATGAAGGTTAGAAATTTAGTTGATGATGAAAAGTGATAGTAGTATAAACCAACTGTTGCACTTAAAGAACATGAAGATTTTATATTGCGACGATAAAATATAAGAATAAGAACATGCATCGTAATATATTAGAGAAAATGAATTTAATATCGAGATGTAAGGATAATTTAAAAGTCACTCTTACAAAATTTTTGACAGTCGTGTAGAATTCTCAAAAGAACTGGTCATAATTTCATAATACTAACGTAAAACTGTATCTGTGCTAAGTAATTTTCAAAATGTCTTTATTACTAATCTTGTCTCATCGATAAAGTGAAGGAGCTAGCATTGCTGTATTATGGAAGCTTGACGAAATTTAGGCTTTAATTTTAAAGATACAGATGCACTTTGTTTTACAGCACTGACATTCTAAGATGACTATAAGCAATTATAAAATTTTCTTCCGTTATAATCTAATCTGTATTTGAAATGACTTACCAGCTGGTTTCACAATCGCCAAGAGGAGAATGGTCGGTTACCGAAAAAGCCAGCTATTTATACTTTTCCTGACAACCTAATTAGCGATGTCCTCTTTGTTACTGCCATCGTCATTGATTGAATATTGAATTTCAGACGATGCTAAGGGAATACTTTTTATTCCATAGGGAAAGAAGAAAAACGCCTACTACATCACCCATGATACTGTATATTTGTGTCCGAAATAATGTTGACAATCATGTATACTACTTATTATTTTATCAAGGAATTATTGATTTAATCGTTTGGAATATAGAGCTACTTCTTATTTTTATTGACAGTATCTGTGTCTATTTTCTTGAGAGAGGCTTGAAAAAGCGGTAAAATAGTGAGAAGCGTCCGAGGTATAAATCGAAAAGGTATCGAGAAAATGCATTTAAGCCTTCGATGATAACGGAATTATTAGGAAACGAGATGAAGCGAGTTTACTTCTACTATATTACTAATAAATAGTGATAATACAGCCATTTAGCAGACTAGGATTAATTTAAATGTCGTATTACAGTTTGTATCACAATTAATCATTAATATTGTAAACTAGGCAGTATCAGAAGTAAGATATTGAATCAGTTGATGTAGGTTACAGATCATAAAGAACTAGGGTCTATAATATATATTATTATTAGCTAGCCAGAGATAGATACATTGGAGTGATTTAGATAGTCAAGCATGGTATGCAGGCTTAACGTATCCTAAGAAAGTCTCTTTATTCGTTTGGGAAATCAAAACACAATCTACTTCCTGCATTATGTCACGCCGCTTAGCTTAAGACAAAAAGAGGCAGTCTACATAAAACAATAGTTCTTTTAATACTGAATAGATTATCATGTAACCAGTAAATAGGCTTAGTTTTCATCTTAGGCGCAATCTGATTGGGCATGTTTGCTATTCTGTAGGGAATAACGTGTGCTACCGTTGTGATATGTGCTAACCTTAACCAGAAAAGGAAGAAAAATAGAATTGTAACCTCTTTGTTATTATAGAGGTGCTGAGTATCCTAATTGAATTACATGCACTAATTTAGGATGATTCTTTAACATATTGTTATGGTCAAAAGTCACTGAAGAGAGTTCATTGGAGATATAGGCAATAAACTGATCTTGCTATTGAAATTAATGCTTATACAGGCAGGAGACGTAGACAATAACCTATTTTGTCGGCTTACTACAAATAACTTTGGACAGCCTATTGCACTAATAATGAAATAACAAAGTTTAATAACGGCTAATGGAAGATGAGACCGTACAGCGGTAGCTATGCTATCTATAGTAAATCCTAAGTTCAATACTTGCAGCCTATAATTTTGAGTATTTACTTAAGCATACATTAAATTATTTTTCAAGTAGCTGCTTCATTAACGATTCGCCCTTATCATTTCAAATAAATTATGATTTAAGTTAACGTTAATCCTACATTTGAAAAATCCACATGAAATTAGATTGTTCAGTGTAATGAAATCGACGTACATGAAGTATGGATATCTAAATCTTGCTTACTGATACGCAGGTTACTAAGCAACTGGTCAATAATGGTATTTATCAGCGATTTAATATTACCAATGTTACCTGTTATACAATAGTTATATTTACTAGGTAATATCTATAGATAGTAATAGATATATGTTTGTGATAAAATCCTATCACAAAAATTCCAAAGTTGTAGAAAATTAGAACTTTATTAGATCTAATACAAAGAGTAGCTACGCACAGCTCTACTTTAGCCGAATACAACTATTGAAGGACTTCCAGAAAAAACGAACTGAATGGTCTAAAGTTGCCAGCTTATATTTATTTCGTAGCAGTCACAGCCACAATCAGCATAGCAACATTCTACCTTAATTTACACATAGTCAAATTATTATTAGTGACAATGTTTTACAGCAGGCCATCATTAATCCGATATGGAAACAACTACAGTATTTCCGTAGATATTATTCTTAGCAGTCAAAGTACGGTAAACTAAGCATATCCTAATATATGAATTACAGTTCTATTTTTACCTCTAGCCTTAATAGTAACTCAACACCTTACTATATGTAGTCATTCTGTACTATAGCATAGAATCTACCATTACAGTCCATAGTAGCGAGCTACCAAATACATCTTAATATAAATATGGAAAGTTACGCTTCCGTACATCTTGCTAACATAGCTAAAAGTCTTTAATCATAATACTAAGTTTCGTTACTATGTTGCAAATAAATACGTGAATAAAATTAAATACTATATATGTACTTATATGATAATCGTGTGGTAGTGCATGTAATACTGTAAGCGATAACATTATAAAAGGCGGACTGATAATTTACTAATTGTAGCGCGAAGTATAAATTGTAATCGTATTGAGGTGTAACCTGATGTAAGTATAAATACCGATCATTAACAATAAATGTTAGTTACAAATCTCGCTCACGAAGTAAACTTATTGCTAAGAATATAACATTACCAAAGATGAATACTGTAATAAGTTAAATTTAATATGCTTAGTGAGTTAACAAATTAAAATTATAAGACAGTAGTACTTTTAGCATTACGACCGTAAACTAGTAATGACTTTGACGCTTGTAAACAACTTTACTTTCATCGCATTCGTATCATAGCCTTCTACGGAATAAGTATTGTAAAGCAATAGTCTCTATTACAGCGATTTACTGCAGAAAACTGTTTCAGGTTAAAAGAGTGCGGTAATAAGATATAATCTAATCTAAAATCGCCAAAATATACGATTAAATCTAACGCTTGTGAGTTAATTAATTAATAAAACTATTGAAATATGTTAAAGCATAGTAATTTCTACATCTTCAATATTCAGAAAGTCGAAATTCTAGTTAGCTACGATTAGTCTAATAGATGTGTTGTCACGGTGCTACCTTACTGTTAGGATAGTGTAATAGTACAGTAGTAGCTAATATGGAAAGTATCTATATTTGTAGTTCTAGGTAAGAGAAGTAATATCTTAATGTGGATTTTATTTATGATAGTTTATAACATATTTGATATTCATTGATATTGTGTGTAGGTAGTAGTAAGATGATTAAAGTTCTAGCTAATGATAGTTGAAGTAGACAACATCCATACTTAGATTAAGATTAAGTAGGAGTAAGAGATTAAAAATATTTACTGATAGAAAAGCTATATAAGGAATAACTCAGTTCAAGATGTCCCTCCTAGTAAGGTATTACAATAATACTGTTGTTGTTTACAAATTAGACGGGTTCTATATATAAACGGCAACAATTGAGTTGGGTTGTGTGGTGAAAAAGTTCTAGATGTGTCTATGCTAATAAAAGCTCTATCGTTACGGTAATTTGCTGTGTGCGTTTGACGTTTGGTAAAGGAGCGTTTTAGTCAGTAGTTACTTATAGACTCTTACTGTGTGTTTTCTTATCGTAGAGTTTAAATTATGACATGTGTATGTAAGGAAATGAAAAGTGTAGAAACCAAGCTACTAAACTTCTAACAAACCTTGATTCTACTTTCTTTGCACTCTAGTCGATTTAACAAAAATTTTACACCAAATAAAATTGGGGAAACAACCAATTAACAATTTATTAAGAAAATGTGAGAGAGTCTGATCAAATAACCTTCCAAATACTTAATTCTAAGTATTATAAGTAACGAAATAAAAAAAATGATAGAACTAAAACTGCCATCAGCCAAACAACCTAACAGAAAGAAGAACGCTTTAACTTACAACAGTTCGACCCCGAAGGCCTTTAAAATCAACAAGTTCTTCAAAAGAATCCTCTTTTGCTCTCTACTCTAAATTTTCTGATTACACTATTATTTATGGGCTTCGCAGAGCCCTCAGTGGTACTTAAAGCTGAATATTAATTAATCAATCACTCATAAGATCCATTTTAGAAAACTACTTTGCACTACTTAAGAAAACAAAAATCATTAAAGTTCAGACACAAATTAACTTATGATTCCCTTACAAAACACTATAAAGTCATCAAACTAACTAGAAAATACCTCAAGCTTCACTTCTAACTTAATTTTCATTCATCATACATTACAAAAGTCTAGAAATTAACCTTTAAAGATCAAAATTTAGTGATAAAAATAACAGCCTGCCTACTTAACAAGCAACACAACCTCTGCCATTTGCCATCTTATTTTCTATTTTCTCAACTAAACTTTCCTTATGTAACTTTCATGTCACTTCATAAAATTCCGAAGTTTCAAATTCACAACAAAAAGTTCAAATTCCAAAAGTCGACTCTTATAACATATTTCAAAAATTAAAATCCAAAAGTTAAAAAAATTAAAAAAATTAAAATTAAAATTACATTGGACATGAATCTGACCGGATCCGGAATCCGAATCCGAAAAATTCGAATTTTATAAAGATCACAGTAATCGCTTATCAAAAAATTTTATTTGACAACTATGACTACTTTTCTGACATTAGTATTGACAGTTGATGTTTTAGCGTGAAGTTGCACGGTAACTGTACGATAATAGCCAACATTACAGTACTTTAGCTGTCCTGTCATAAATCCCCTTTCTCTATGGATAGGGTTTTTGTTACTAAGTCAAATTTATCTCTAATCTCAGTATGCTATGAAACGCCCTTTCTGTAGATTAGGCGATTGCTCTTAGGTCATTCCTATAGTAATCTACATAGATATCAGTATACGGCAAGTAAACACTAGGGGTCTTGTTTCTAACACAAAATCTCGGAATAGTAGCTATCTTTAATATTGTATATTAATGGATCGTAACACTGCGCACTATCGTATTTAATAATTAATGCGTTTTGTGAAAAATAAGTATTGCTACCTGTTTTTATAAATCGTCTCTGTATCTAAACTACATTTAGGTAAAATATATACTGAAATTCTAAAGGCAACAGCTACTGTAAAGTCAACGGCCGTATTACAACCGAATTAATTTTAAATTTCAATTTAATAAGTAGTTATTCTGCCGTTTATTATTAAGCGTAGTAAATGATCCGATAAATAATTATATACAATTAATTAATGCTTACACTGAATAAATAAGTGTAGGAGATATAATAATCTATTGAAATCCCTCCCATTTATGGTAAAGCACGGTATTTGCTCTTACCGTATACTAAGTACTGAGAGCTAGGACTAATACCTTATTAGCTGTGCCCAAATGTATTCGTACTACTACTCTTAAACCGTAAGATCATTAAACTTCGAACCTAATGTAGTGCTAGTGAGGCTATTACACAATTGTATTAGTGTTACCCTAAATTGTGAGATGAAATTTATAATTGATGGGATTGATAACCTATTGATAGAGCAAACTGCATGCAATCCATTATTGAAGCTCCTATATGATTTTACCAGACTAATGTTTACTGCATTAGCTTAGTGCGGTTCTTATTGAGGTCTAATAGGGATATTTATAATTTCAGATAATGTATGTTTCATGCTGCATATGGAAGCATTATAAACAATGATATTGTTCAGTGCCGTATAGGGACTAAGGATTACTTTTAATTTGATTATTTACACGCCTGATAGAAAATGAGAGAATATAGCGCAGTCATGTATTAGCCAAAAGAGGTATCATAAATTTTGAGCCGTTTAATTGTCTTTGGTATGTTTATTAATACTGACTTTTATTAGCATAAAGTAAGTAAATGCTAGAAAAATGACATTACTAATATAAATCAACGCATGTAGAGAATTGTATTGATACAAAAAAATTTTAATTTTTTGTAACATCTACTTAGATTATCTATCGGAATCGGAGATGAGATACCGAATAAAGTTAACTACGAATCTATAATTATCACCATATTTCTTTATTAGCGATAATCCAATCCATGCGCTTTTTATAAAATCGATATGCTTATTTCTGGATAAGTTCATTATAGCCAGTGGTTCCGGATAGATGTATCGATTTGTTGATTTGATTGATAATATTAAAAAAATTAAATATATAAAAATATGTTTAGTCAAAGTTAGCTAAATTACTAAATTAACGATAAGTTCAATTATCGATATTAATTAAATTAAATAAATTAGCGTATTCTTAAATGTTACTATTCGTGTATTACTGTAAGGTATTTATTTATATTTTAATATTGATAGCATGACTAACCTTTCCCTGTAGCATCATAGGTCCAAAGAGGACAAACGACATAAGTTGAATAAAAATACGAAATTGGCAAAGATTAGTTTTAGAAGTATATATGTATATTACATGATGTGGAATAGGTACATTTTAATTTTCATAAATCATACTTTTATATCAATTAGATGACTGCCAATTGTTAAGTGAACTATGTGCTACGAGTTAATGAAGGAAATATTTATTTTATTTTCTGCAGAACTTACATATCGACGACGACGGATATAGTAGCGACGACGCCGGATATAATAGCGACGACGACGGATATAATAGCGACGACGACGTCTCCACTATGTATAAAATATTAATTGTTAGTTTTCTTAGTGCTATCGATATCAAGCAATAAAGGAAATAATCCTGTAACACTTGCGTTGAATCACTTAGCACTTTCATAAGGGTATGCGTAATTAATTTGTATTTGTATATGTGCACGTTTTACCCATTTATATAGACTATTCCACTTCACAGTTTTATAATAAATTACTTACCCACCAAGCCTTTTGCTCCTTAATTTTTAATCCATGTTACGAAGATAGTGCAAGAAGCAATAATTTATTATTAGTACAGAAATCGAATGTTTTTACACCGTCTTATAAGTAGGTAAATAATTAGAGACGTCGATGAAGATGTTTATAAGATAACGAGTATCTAATTTATGGATCAGATCAAAGACTAGAAAAACGAAATTTTTAACTTAATCGTTACCAAGCAGGGTCCGTAAGAAGGTATGTAGTTATTAGTTTTTTTCATGATTGACTTACTTGGGTCATTTTTAGTAAATGTGATAATGGTATTTACAAATAACTTGCCTTAACGACTTTAGTTTTCATTTCATCATCCTAAAATCGTATTAATAAAATTGTTATTTTCTCTTTATAATTGATTGATAAATTTAGAGTTATGGTTTATTTTGTTTAAGTCTTTATACAGTGGAGACTTTAACTTACGATATCGCTTTCCAGAAGAGCCTTTAGATCTTCTTCATCTACATCACGCATTTCGGTTTCTTTATCCGAGACTTCATTTTGTTCAGGTGCTTCTTCTTCGATTGCGAAAGCAACCGCGAAGAATAATAAGGTAGCAACTAAGATAAGCTTCGTGTTCATGTTTCCTGATAGACAGAAGCATAATTAAATAATGAAGGTTAGAAATTTAGTTGATGATGAAAAGTGATAGTAGTATAAACCAACTGTTGCACTTAAAGAACATGAAGATTTTATATTGTGACGATAAAATATAAGAATAAGGACATGGGTGGTGTATTTAGAATATACTGTAACTATATTCTACTCTTAAATACAGACATGTTGTATTGATCTTGTATTTAGACATAACTACAGTCTGTTCGCTCTACATTCAAATATGGCTTACTACATTTAGTTATTACAGTCCTCGCTATTTTCTACAATCATCTGCTATTCTATAACCTGTTATGGTATATGATGTATCTAATCCTACAATCATGTTCTCTACGTGTGTTCTAATGCCATAGCTATAAATACTGCCGTTTTCTACCTTAGATTTCTTAAGTTGCATTATTAGTCATAGTTAGTATTCACACTTTACTCACGGCAGCTACCACGCTGACCTACCGTAATTATCACACTTTACCTAACTACTATCTACAATAAAGTATCCTCTTTTCTTAAGCTCCTTGTGCAATTCTCTGCATGGCAACTAAAACCACATTATTGGACTCTTCGAACCCTCCATCACAACGTGCATCGTAACATATTAGAGAAAGTGAATTTAATATCGCGATGTAATTTTAAAGATACGTGCATACTTTGTTTGACGGCACCAATATTGCATGATGGCTACTTATAAAGAATTGTAAAATTTTTCTTTCGTTATAATCTAAGCTGAATTTGAAATGACTTACCAGTTGGTTTAGCAATCACCAAGGAAAGAATGATCGGTTACCGAAAAGTTGGCTATTTATACTTTTTCTGACAGAGTAAAAAGTCAATGGCGAAGTTAGTAATTCACGGACAAAACCCTGCGTTCCTTAATTGACGATGTCATCTTTGTTACTGCTATTGTAATTAATTGAATAGTGAATTTCAGACGCTGCTAAAAGAGTACTTTCTATTCCGTAGGGTAAGAAGAAAAACGCCTACTGCCTTATCTATGATACTATAAATTTGTGTCCAAAATAGCGTTGACGATCGTGTACGTATTCCACCATTATTTTATTAGAGAATTATTGATTAATCTTTTGGAACGTAGAGCTACTTCTTATTTTTATTGATGGTAATTGTGTCAGTTTTCTTGAGAAACGCTTGACAAAAAGCGGTAAAATAGTACGAATCGACGTATCCGAGATATAAATCGAAAATAAATTGGAAAATGGAGTAAAGAATTTTATGATACCGTATATGGAATTATTAGGAATCGAGATTAAGCGAATTTACTTGTATAAATTGATATTTTATGATGCAATCGGATCATCCATGATGAGCTAAATTCTATCTATCTAGTGCTATACATATCATAACTAATAAGTATAATCGTAAACATTGCATTATGTAGTTCAAGTTTGAAATTTTATTGATTACTCGTTCACGAGTAAACAGATTTTATCGTGACGAGGTGTAACAGCTTAGAGATTCGATCGTATAATGTACACCTAGTGCCAGAAGGTTGTAAAATGTTTTGATGAAAAGTTAATAACAATCACAACTGCTAGTGCTATGACTTCTTAATATTTTCTGGTGATGAGTATTACAAAGTAATACTAGGTAAATAGATGACGACAACAATTTAGCTCAATTGTTTATTAAGCCGTTCAGATTTTATACGTATTTGATTTATAATACGAAAAGTAGGAATTGCAATTGTAGTGATTAAGTTATGTCATTCAGCTAGTTCGATAACTACATGTTGTCGATAGGTTGTATAAGCTAGGTAAATTATCTCTTTTCCATACTTTACTTTCTATTCTTGTCCTTTGTATTTACGCTTATTGGGTAGCTACTTTCAGTCATAGTTAGGGACATTGAATTATAGATAAATTGTGATAGTATTGCCATTCACTGAGATAATTTAAATGTGGTAAGTATTACTGTTTACGATGCAATTAATCATTCATGTTGTAGAAAGTGCGAGGAGTAAAATATTGAGTCTGCTGATATACATTAGAGATCCCAGAGAACTAGGGTCTGTAGTGTGCATTGCTATTAGCTATCCCGAGGTAACTGTATTGCCATGATCTAAATAGTCAAGCACAAAATGTAGGCGTAGTGTATCAGTAAATTTTCTTTATTCGTTTGGGAAATCAAAACGCAATCTACTTCTTGTATTACGTCATGCCACTTGGCTTAAGAAAATTCCTTGAGGCAATCTGTACAAGGCAATGGCTTTTCAATACTAAGTAGGTTATCATAAAACTATTAAATAGGCTTATTTTCCATCGCAGACGTAATCTGAACGGTAATACTTTCTGTTTCGTAGAGAATGATGTGTACCGCTATTGTTATATGTGTTCTCTTCAGCGAAAACGAGAGAAAGTAAAATTATAACCTCTTTTGTTACTGTAGACATGTCGAATATTCCTGCTGACCTTCATGTAATAATTTCAGATGATCTAAATAGCAGAATAATGATTGAAAAGTCAGACTAGTTAAAATTTTGTAGAAAGCATTAATGATAAATTAATTAATAGAAGTTATTACGATTAATTAAGTCTCGTATTTAATGCTTCTTTCTTAAAATATTGTTGTGGTCAAAGGGCAGTGGAGAAAGTTAATTAGAGATAGAGGCATTAAACTGATTTTACTATTTTGATATTAATGCTTTTACTGATAGGAAACTTAAATAGTAACCATTATGTCGGCTAACTACGAAAAATATAGGACGGCCTATTGCACTTACAATGAAATGACAAAGGTTAATGACGCCTAATAGGAGATTAGACCGTATTGTGTTAGCTAACATACTTTCAATAAATCATAATCTTAATACTTTCAGCCTATTATTTTCAGTATGTATGCATACGAGTATATTAAATTATTCCTCAAGCAGTTGCTTAATTACGAGAAATAAATACTATAACAACTTAAACTTAATATGCCTAGTGAGTTACCAACTCAAATTATAAGACAGTAGCACTTCAGAATTACGACCTTAAACTAGTAATGACTTTGACGCTTGTAAACAACTTTACTTTCATTACATTCGTACCATAGCCTTCTACTGAAAAAGTATTGTAAAGCAATAGGCTCTATTGTAGCGATTTACTGCAGAAAACTGTTTCAGGTTAAAAGAGTGCGGTAATGAGATATAATCTAATCTAAAATCGCCAAAATATACGATTAAATCTATTGCTTGTGAGTTAATTAATTAATAAAACTATTGAAATATGTTAAAGCATAGTAGTTTCTACATCTTCAATATTCAGAAAGTCGAAATTCTAGTTAGCTACTATTAGTCTAATTGACATGTATATTGAAATTAGTACACATTTCAGTATACGGTAAGTAAACACTAGGGGTCTTGTTTCTAACACAAAATCTCTCCGAAAGTAGCTATCTTTAATATTGTATATTAATGGATCGTAGCATTGTGCACCCTCGTATCTAATGATTAATGAGTTTTGTGAAAAATTAGTGTTGCTACCTATTTTTATGCATCGTTTCTGTATCTAAACAACGTTTTGGTAAAATGTATACTGAAATTCTAAAGGCAACAGCTACCGTAAAGTCAAGGGCACTATTACAGCCAAATTAGTTTTGGATTTCAATTTAATAAGTTGTTATTCTGCCATTTATTATGTATAATCATTTTTCGGTATTACTAGTTTATCTTGATTGTTTACGTAATTGCTAATAATGAGAATAGTTAATTCTAACGATGATCTGTTAACATGCCGCAGTATTTTGTGATTGATTTTGCCATTCTCATTATTGCTATTCCAGATAATTTCGAGGGATTTCAGATCGTGTAAGTAAACAGTTCTATTCCTTATGGAAAGAAGGAAACATCTGGCGTTTACTGAAATATTGTGAAGTTTTGTCTGAAATAATGGCGATGATGATTAAAACAACCCTTATATTAAAAGCTTATAAATTTATTTGATATTAACTTAAATAACTCAGATTAAGAGTTAGAAGTCGCGAACCTATAGTAATAGTAAAAGACTGTTACTTGGTCATTACAGGAGGCAACCAATGGCATTTTAAATTGAGGCTGTTTGTTTACTTCAGCGCTACAAAAGTGGTAAAATACCTAAGATTGACATATTTGAGATTTTTTTAAATAAGATACTGGGAAATTAGAATACGGCCAAAATCGATGATCTACTCATTTAGAAGAGAGAAAATGAGAGAATTCAGGCTGATAAATTAATTTAAAATAAACCGAAAACCCTTAAATTGATAATTTACCCATTTATAACGGTAAAATGCAAGAATTTAAGTTAATAAATTAATATTTTTGAAAGACAGGCAGTGCATATATGAAATTTGCATTATTGGCCAGTAATGATTTTTTTTATATAATGTGGCATGATTTCACAATATTCTCTAGTCGCAAATAAAAATTTACAGCGTTTGGGATGTGGACAGGAGCAGCCATCTAGTTGATTTGTGTTATTGATGGTATAAGCGATACTATTTTATTTTTAGATTTTAGATAGTATTATCAAGCTGTTATAGATAATTATTACTCAGAATGAGGCACGATGAAGTCTAGACTTTTGCTGCTTTAGATATTCTTCACTTAATTTTGCAACATATTTGTATGAGTATATGCGCTTCAATGCATTCGATCTTCTTTAGAAGACAGTATGTTTGCTATGATTACACTCTGACTGCTACGATATTTAATTAAAGTAACCTGGTTTACGCTATTGATCGTATTCAGTAAACGTCGAAAAGTATCTTTATGCGTTTAGATTAAATGACAATAATTTTACATACTTTAGGTGAATTCTGATTATTAACTAGTTTCGGTATACGCTAATATTTGTATTGGTTGATGCGCTACTTTTAAGTAAGCCTCCGATGTCAACACGTTACAGCTACTAGTGTGTATAACATGTCCATAATCAGACTCTGATATAAATTCTTGACAGAATATATATGCTGACTTAATCTAAAGGCGAAATTCTAAGTACAGTTATGAATTAGTGAAAGAAATTATCCTTCCTTGTTTTACTTAGTTTGATAACGAATTACGTAAGAAACTGCATGAAAATTTAAATTAAATTTTATTTTATTTTGGGATTATTATTGAAGCCGATTCTAGCTGTCCAACATATTGGAAAGTATATTTAATTCCAGCATCTGCCTTCAGTATATCCTCGATTATTTGAAATTCAGCGAAGCTAGCAACTATTCTAATTCGTTAAATGCTGGTTTAGTAGTTATTGACAGTCGAGATAAATAAGATTTCGTAGGAAATTTAACTTGTGGTTTTTCTGTTAGGACGTACTAGATAGGATTAGTAGATGTTAGAGGAGATAATTCCGCTACAAGTTTTCAGCATTACTCCACTGACAAAATATTAACTGAAACTGGTTATTCGAGTTGGGAGAA